AATAAGAGTGGGAATACCAATTTTCCAAAATTTTACAAGGACTTGAGTAGATTAAATCGGGAACTTATTTCCTACCATAAAACCATAAAAAATAAATTGGGCAAATTAAAAGTATGTAACATTAATATTTTAACCAATCTCCAAAACTATTTTAGACCAATCTCAAAATAACGCTGCCATTTGTTTCTCTTATATGTACTTAATTTTTTTTTTTGTATTTGAATCTCGAAGGTCCCTTATCTTAATCCGAATTTGATCTACACAAGTCTTTATAAAAATTTGAAAAATGGTTATTCCCACTCTTGTTTTCAATTTTTCAAGCTCATTCCACAGACTGAGGATACTGTCACGGATTAAAAAAGCACCTTTTAAGATCTATACAATTGTCGTATCAAACATGTTGTGTTTTTCGACCCGCCCTAATGTACATGCACATATAATTCATTTAAAATCAAATACCGCCGCGGTGGCAGATCTTTGATGTCAAAGTGTCAACATGTCAATTTAAATGACAGGAAGCAAAACAATTATGGTGATGTTAGTATGTATCGTATGTGTACTATTTAACATATGTATATATGTACATTAGACTGGGTCGATAATAAGTTTGGAATATCTCACTTTATTCGAAAGCCCAATCCAAAAAACAGCCAAAATCAAGTTTTGTTCATGACTATTTTAGTTCTAACTCAACTTTTAAGTGTTATAATCATTTAACTGATATTTTAAGTACTACATATTTATATATCATTACCTTAATTCACATCGAAAGTCACTAAAGTTTTAGCGTTGCAGATAGCTTAGTTGTTCTGGATCGTAGGGAAGTCCATCTCATCGGTGATCAATGAGATTCTAAAATCCTCAATAACTGATACGGCAGGCTAGGTAGAAAGGAATGGTCCAGGGGCTAGTTCCTAATATCTTGCTAAACGATCCCGATCTACACAGATGGCTTCAAAATGGACATTCAACCCGGATCTGGAACCTTCTCCCAGAAATTATCCTTCGGAGGGTTCAACAGACTTCTAAATTACTATATTTTTTCCCCCATGGCTGAGATATATGCAATTTTCTGGCACATCAAATTAATTACGAATTAGTTTTTTGAGGGGAAAACCATCACAGGCTTCCGATATTAATCTAATCTAATCTGAATCATCCTGTGTCCAACAAGCCCCATATCCTTCGTGTCAAATCATCTGATTGCCGAGAACGGAAAATGTTTACAGAGCAAAAGCAAGATTCAGCTAAAGATAAATAGGATGCCCGCCTCTGCTGGTTATCAAAATGGGGAATTAATAGTTCAGCAACGCAGAGTTCGGTTGAGAGGCTGGAAAGGAGAATAAGAATATCCATGTATATTCGAAAGCTTATTTCGAAAATGATTTTATCATAAAAAATGTACGCCCTAAAAATCGACAAAACCAAGAACATCACGAATTTGTACGACAATAAAATTTAAAATCTTGATGTTAGCGTTAAAACTTGGGTTATAAACTTGTCTTCCCTCTATGAGATCCGATCCGGTTTAATAAATGCAACAACGAGAACAAATAAGAATATACATATTTATGCACATACAATCATACATATGTATGAATGTGCATCATCTGGACCTACTTAATCAATTTGTTTAGTTCAAAGCGATTTTAATAAAGACAATTTACTTAATTTGATTTAAATTAATTTAATAATGCTGATAAATGTAGTGCTACCTAATACATATAAACGTATGTATGTAGATATATACATATGTAAATGCATTACTACAAATGTACTATATATGTATAATTGCAAAGCTTGAAAATAGTGAGTTCAAAGTCCTTTATTATTTCAAAGTACAGGGTGAGCCAAATAAGACCTACAAATTTCACTCAGCAGGTCCATAGTTTGCCTAGCAGTGTGCGCAGTCGCACCATCTTGTTGGAACCACAAATTAGGATGCTGCGCCGCCGTTGGCCGCAAAAAGTCGTCAATCATTGTTCTGTAAGAAGTCCCAGAAATCGTTTCTGGCGTTTCATCCCCATTCTCGAAGAAACACCGTGCATTTGGATGGATGTAACTGGTGCTGGTGTATTTTTGCACAGTTTTGCTTGGAAATGCGCTTCATGCGAAATCAAAACATTACCTAGAAAATCTATTTGTGTGGCTAATTGTGTAAAAAGAATAGCATATTGTAGTCGTTGTTGGTGGTGTTGGCTGTAAGTATCCATTACTATTTTCCAATATAGTAACTATAACATGCAGAAAGAAAATGGCAATAATATTAAAAAATAAAGAAGTTATACGTGTTTAACATTGGTAAGTCTTATTTGTCCCACCCTGTACATTCATATTTACCTACATACATATCTGCATTTTAGCTATGCAAACAAGTGTTCATAGTGCTATTATTAAAAAGAAAGGAACACTCGTGTGAGGTGCTTTTAGTACCTATTACTTGTAAATACTGGCTTATCATCTTCTACAGCTCCCCGTTATGTTATGACTTTGAACTAATTTTAGCATCGATTTGTGTTCACCAATATATGTACGTATGTAAATAAATACATATATTAAAGATAATATTACTTTATTACTGTACAAAAACCCGTTTCGTTTTTGAACAATAATTCACACTTTAAAGCTGGCGCGAATATGCGAAAACTTTTGCGCTTGCGCTCACCTCAGCTCGCCGTGTTTGGTTAAAGCTGATGTCACATAAAACTTTTGCTTCGCTTTACGTGACAGATTCGCTTTGACAGATAAGATGAATTGTATGAAAATGCACAAAGCATGCCACATAAATCGTTGAAGCGGCAGCGCGAAGCGAAAAGATGGTCAACTCCCATCTTTTTGCGCGCTTTGACAATCAGCCGGTTTAATATTTATTTTGTTTCGTCCAAATTCGGGTTTTCATGCAGAAACATAAAACTTAATTACATTGCTGATAATTTTAAATCAAAATAATTAAAATCCACAGCAACTTTGATGAGTAAAAAAGCGGTACAACATTGTTTTCTTGGCGTTCATTGTGGCATACCTTTTGCGTCTGGCGCTTTGCTGGCAAAGTTATAAATGTCACGCAAAGCTACAAAGTTTTATCTGGCATCAGCTTAACATTTTTTGTTTTGCTTTGTGATTTGTCATATTTTACGTCAAGCCACATTACATTAGTTTTGTTTTGCGGATTCATAGATACATACATACATACATAACTATGTAATGCTACTACAAATTTATAATATTGGAACCGATTGATACGCGTCTAAAGTTGAAGTCGTTTGTTTAAGATTTACCAAATAATTTTATTTTTATACTTGGTTTTGTTTGTAAATACATACATACATACTATATAGTAACTACATTTACAGCACATCATAAAAATTAACAGATTGCATAGGTATATCTTTAAGGGTTGTTTAGGTCAAACTATGTCCATAGGTATGTATGAGGCATTATTCATCAACTGAAGCACAAACTTAGTTGAGGTAAAAAAAAAACAAATCGCTTATAGTTAGGGTTGCAAATTCATTAAAAGTTTTTACTTTTAAATAATAGGTATCGTTTTTTTTTTTTAAATCCAATATGGCGGTTCCAATATGGCGAACAAAGTTTTAAAAAATGATTGCATACACTTGATATTTGTTATTCGAGGGTTGATGGTATCATTGATTACGAATATGACATGCATTTTTTAAATTCAAAATGGGTATTTAGCAAAAATAAGTTTTTCATACAATTTTTGGAAAATGGGTGTGGCACCGCCTACCTATATCAAATATATGACCCTAAATGACAAACCTACAGCAGAATAGAAAGAAAGTGCAGGGGAGATCTAAATACTTACTTGGAACTCGATAAAAAAAAAACTTACTATCCCTATGGCTCCAAGGCTGTAAAAAAGGAATTGGATTTGGATGACACCTAGAAGGTAGTTTCAGATGCTTTTCTGCTTTAAACATGACGGCAGCGGCTGTTTTAATCGACAGCCGTGACAGATAAGCTTCCTTAGTGCTGGTAAACAGCTCGTGACTCTTCACGAATTGTCCAGGAATGTGTTACTGTTAAGGCTCAACTCTGTCATAAAATGGAACAGACCTCAACTGGCTGATGAGTTGACCAGCTTTGGTTCTTAGCCGAATCTTAGTAGGAACTGTCAGGTCCAGACAATGTAGTTGTAAAATTTCTTCTCCCACAGAGAAGGAGTGAGTCTCGAGCTCTGATAGCACCGTTGAATGATGAGTATAGTACAGAGCTTTTTCTTTGCAGCTTTCCGTTCTTCGGCAGTCTAAGATTTTGCAACGATTTCAAACATCCACCTCTTACTTTCTATGGGCTTAAATATAAATAATGCGCAACAATGTGTGCATTGAAAATCGGTTTTGTGTTATTCGGTCTGCGACAATTGCATTCCATACTTTTATTTGCCTGGATTTGTTCTCTTGGACGAGGATTTTCTTCGACTAAATAAGGTAAACTTAGCAAAATCAGGGCAATTTTGGAAGCATAAACTGGTTTTAGGTGAGATCGATGTTAATATTTCTCAACGCGGCATCACACAAGCCAAGGATTCTAGGTGTAACTTAATGATGAAAAATTGCATTTTTATTTCAAGGACGTTTCAAGCGTATAGCCTATATGGCAAGTCTAAACTATCCGTAGTTTTCGGTGGTCAATATGCAGAGAAAATATATAACTTTTTTTTTTACTGGCACAAATTCGTACCAAATTCCGTGGCCCTATTACAGTGTTTGGTAATTTTTTTACCGATTTTACTTATTTTCAAACCTTAATTGCCAGTTTAACGAAAGCAATTTAAGTGAAAAATTATTTCATGATTTTTTTTTTACTTTAATTGCTTTCGTGAAACCGGTAGTAAGAAAGTAATTACGTTTTCAATTAATTAATTTTAATTATTCCGACATGAAACGTTTTTGTTTGCCGGACTATTTTATCGGCCTACACACACGACTGTTTATGAAATATATTTTAATTTTATTTTATTTTTTTTGTTTTAGGTGCTCGGTCAATGGTATGAAGTGGAGCGATCATTTTATTTACCCGAAATCGCTTCTGGTTGCACGCTGCTTGAATTTCAGCCCTTAAATAAAGAAAAGCTGTCTAAATCCAGTAATTTTGAGCTCGAAGTGGCAATCAAAACAATAAACAGACTGTAAGTAGCATGTTTTTTTTTTTTTTTTAATCTACGTACAATTATCTAATATTTTAAATTTTTGATAGAACCGGAAATCCTTCAGTCAATTTGGGCCAAGCGACACCGGAGAATCGAAGGTCATCTATTATGGATTTTAAGGTAACCTATTGCAAAATAACCTCAACTAAACTAAATTGAAATAAAATGAACTAAACCAAACTGAACTTTACGTAACTAAAATGAACTAAAACTAATATAAATAAATACAACTAACCCTCGTTCTTTATCCCTCTTTCTCTCTCAACACACAGTTTAACTCTCGTTTCCCGGATGTTATTGCCCGCCTTCTGCCTGGTTCTGGCAAATATCAGGTACTCTACACGGACTATGACAATTTTGCTATTCTCTGGTCTTGTGGCAGTCTAGGATCAATTGGATATTCCGATCAAATATGGATATTCGGGCGAGATCGTGACTTCCCGGTAGAGGTGCGAACGAAAATCTACGATGCACTGAAAAAATTGGGACTCGATCCAGAGAGATTAGTCTTAAGTAAAAATAAAAACTGTCCTCAAACGTTATAGTTTTGCCATTGTAAGTCACCACACAGAGTAGAAGAAATTAATAATATTTTTTTTTTTTTATTAAATGAGCTCGAAATAAGTTATACATATAAACGAAATTGAAGTAAGAGTACATACCATTTTACCATGATGCAATAATAAAAGGTGTTGGATGTTGGCAGCTTCCCGCTCTAATTCCGCCATATTAACCTCTTTAGGTGAAACAGTGTTACTTCTTTAACAGTTGTTTGCATTATAATATTGTTTCTCGGTATACGCATTTTATTTTCTTAAAAAAGTATTTTATCTTATTTTATTTCATTTCATTACGAATATGCTATAAAAAAAGCAAAATTTGTTTAGAAGAAAATATGAAATTTTATATTTTTCCCCCAAACGGGGATTAATTTCTTCCCGTTTTTCTTCTTATTCTACTACGCCAAGGCAGCATCAAATCTAGCTGTAACAACGTCCAACACCTTGTTTTATTGCATCATGCCATTTTCCTACCTTTTAAATCATTTACAGTTCATGAATGTCGATAACTGTAACGGCAGGAGCTGAACGTAGCCACCAATAGCGCGTTAGAGTGAAACAAATGATAAATATGTAATGTACATACATAAGAGCGTTTTTATGATCATCAATGGCATTATACAATTTACTATTGCCCGATCACCATAAAATCTAAAATTTACAATGCCGACCGCAATTAATTTTCGGTAGTGCAGATTTTGTAAAAGTAAATGTCAATTTTGATTGCGTATTCCTTTATAGCTTGGTCCACCTTTATGGTTTGTTTTTATTTTTTACTTTTTTTTAATACATTAGATTAGATCGCTGTGATACAAGAAAAAAATGCAAAGAAATTTGATGCAGTACATATTAAATATAAATTTTATTAAATAGTTAATGATTATCTTGAAAATTGATTATAAATTAAGATGTAAATAAATGATAAAAATTAAAAAAAAAATACTGAAAATGTGACGTCTACGTCATGATTAAATCACCCTTTCTTAAATCATCCCGAGTTTATTTAGTTTAAGAAATAAGGATATAGGATATGCTCTACAGATTCCTCTAGCCGACATTAGATCACCGCAGAAAGCGCCAACGCAGCAGCAATATCTGTTCACCAGTAAGTGCTACTGCCAGCTGGCGTCCGTCTTACATAAATGCGCAGCTAAAAATCCCCCTCCCAGTAACGGGTTGTGAGCTGGGCTTGGCATCCGACACGTTTAAAACAAATCAAGTTACTTGACTAAATAAACAACGTAAACTAAACATGGAATACGCTTTACGGATAAGTATCTGGAATGCTCGGGCAGTCTGTAGGAAATGTAACTCTATTCAACCAGTGGATCTCCTGTTGGCAGTGTATGTAATAATTTGGAAATAGGATCACTTATGAGTAGGTTAAAGACTCCCAAGGCACCGATACATTGTGAAGCTTTAAAACTCTCGGGTGTTACTGTCTTTCAGTTACAACTTCATCTGCACCGAAAAAGATCTCCAGATTACGCAATAATTAAACCATCGCCACCGAATCCACCACGAGCCACTTCCCGTTATTGTTTGATAGGCTCGAACGCCAATGGTGGTGGTGCGAATTATAAACCTGACGGGCAGTACGGGACACTTTAGCTATCACAGGGCACTTTAGCCATTAATACTCTATTCGTATTACCAAGACCTCGGAAGGATAGTCACATTGTCGGAATATAGGGAGGCGTACCTTGCACAGAAAGCACACAAAATCACCTCAAAGCTGGTGTCAGACTGCATTCAGCTTTTAGTACTCATCACAGGCAGGAACAATACATCATTTGTGTATACGTCAATAAACGAGGTTCCCGTAACCAAATATAGCTTTTTTACGTTAGATTGTTCTTGATAGCAGCGGTTAGGTGCCCTATGCCTCCCTCTAAATATTCTAATCCAATCTAATCGATTTCAACCCGCAAAGGCGGCTATTTCCTCGGTCTGGAGCTGTCCTTGATGCGCTTAACGTTGAGTGGGCTGTTAGTTTGACGTGGTATTTGGCAGTGCCCATCCCTACTCTTTACGTACTCGAGAACCAATGTAGACTTTATGCAATGGGAAAAAATATTTTCATTGGAACATACATATGTACTGCGATCTCTGATCTTGGACCAGAGACGCCGGTACAAATGTCATCTGTGTACCAAATTAGAGGCTACCTTACCTTATTTCCCATCTCTATTTTAAATGTCCCTTCGAAGCTGATAATTCTACTGATATCATTCCCTGGGAATTGAGTTAGGGGTAGCTGAGCGGTGAGCGATTCTATATTCTGAGATCATACCACTTCCTCTCTTCCTTTGGTGAAGTTTTTCTGGGATAGTTTGGCTGCCTGATCTATGCTGATATGCACGCCCATGCAAGACATAGTTTCGTGAATGAGCACCTCAAAGTCACTAAGTCGGGTCTCGAGCCGCAGGCCAGCGAGGTCTGCAGTTCTAAGACCTTCCTTTCAGACATCTACATACCATTAGTGCGCTTGTGGCTCTGGATGTCATCATGTCGACCTAGAACATGCACATGCCTTTTCTTTGATATCTTTAGTGCCCCTTAGATTATATCACAGAGGGTGTTCGCAAATATTCCTATCGTTATTATGACTATGATTACCTGGGCACCGGATTCCAGCGTCTGATAGCGTTTTCAGGAGTTCATCTAGTACCAAGTTCTAAAGGATAGGGATAATACCGCCCCCTTGATGTGGACACACCTTTGTGGTTTTATCTATATGTAACTGTGCCTTAATGTGGTCTCTGATATTCTTGTTGGTAGCAGAGCTTCTATCTACCTACGAATAGGTACTTATCCGCCACAGAGAACAACCTCCCCGTAGTCCAACGCACTTTAGATTTCTGTCGTTTGGATCTTGCTGCCCTATACGCATGTTGGCTACAGTGTAGCAAGCTAACTTTCAGAGTGTTTGACCAGATTTCATGAAAAAATCATTTTCTTCATCGCTTTTAGTAAAAAAGAATTTAAACTAATTGGTCTGAAGAATTTGGCTAAGAAGTAAACCTTTATTCGTACCATGGGTATATATGTTACCCTGGATCTTTTCCATACTGTTGGGATGTCGGCTAGGGCTAGGTAGGCTAGGACTAGACGCTATCCCTTCTGTAATAGTAAATTTCGTTCATTCCTGGAGATTTGTGCCAATCATATGAGCACAGTGTCTACCTTATTCTGACTAGCGAATAGCAAAGCCCCAATCGGATGGCCTTGGCTTGGATGTGCGACCAGTTCCCCCCATAGTCTGGTTGGATGAATCCGGGAAATCTCTAGATAATAGGGTGTGTGCTCTTTCTATTTCGCTTCCGTCCAGCAGCTTTATGCAGATTTGCTGGTCAGCCCGTTAGTCATACCACGGGGATTGGAGCAGAATGGAGTTTAAGGGGAAGAAAGTGTGTGGAGCCGTGAAGGCTATTTGTGCGGTCTGTGGAAGCGAATTACTTGGGGCTATACGCCGTTAGGTTCATCATCTTAAAGATCTAGGCTCGAATCGTAACATCCGTTCACGGATCGAAAACCGTACGAAAGAAATTTACGTGATACGTCAGTCATATAAGCTGTATAGGATAAAGAGTACGTTCACGGATGTCATAATCCGAGAAAAATGTTTTACGTGACGAATAATACTATATCGTATGTGACGATTCGAGCCCAGGTTTGGTCATAGGTTTTCAGGTATACCCAGGACGTGGTATTGTTTCTCATATGGTAATTCCCTGCGAAGATTTTAGAAATTAAATAGACCACTGACACATTTGTGCAAAATAGTGCGATTTGGGTTAACGAGGGTACACTTATTATTTAAACAACTAAGTAAAAGGGGAATACCATCAAAATATTACATTTCATAGCTAATTGATAAAAGCTAAATATTAAAACGTGCATAAATAGAATATTAATAAAGAAATGAGAGAGAACGAAAGAAAATATCATAAGCAATGCATTTGCGCTTCAATCAAAACTCAACCGCTGCCACTTACTTGCAATTAGAATGCTTGTCCTAATTAATTGGTCAGAAAACATTTTTTGAGCCTAAGATGCGGCTTATTATGGCTAATATATTCAGTCTTAAACGAATTGTTGCAATTTCAAGATGATTAAACTACCAGTACTGCTGATCATCGGTATTTTGTTGGCGTGCGGTGCTTTCGAATGGGCAGAAGCTAGAGGTGGCGGAGGACACGGTGGTGGTGGTGGTGGTCGTGGTGGATTTGGCGGAGGAAGAGGTGGATTTGGCGGGGGAAGAGGTGGCTTTGGGCGAGGATTTGGTCCCGGTCGTGGGTTTGGTCCTGGATTCGGTAGAGGTTTTGGACGCGGCAGGGGTCCTGGTTTTGGACCTATTGTCTACGGTGGAGTTGGTGTGGCAACATTTGTGCCTTACGTACGTCCATATTGCCCATACTATATGTGGCCGTGTTACTATTGAATGGAAAAAATTCTATAAAACGTGATTTAAAACAGAAAATAACAGAAACCAAATTACTAATTTATAACATAGCCATACAAAATTTTGTTTTTTTTTTCATTTTTTATTCAATAAGAAACTACATGTATGTGTTTAAACTTGATACATTTCTTTCAACATTTAGTACGAAAATTTGTATTCCTTTTATTTATTACACAATTATTAGTTATTTGTTTTACAATACGTGATAATATGAATGTATACATGTAAGTATTTATGCTCGCCTTTATATTATGTACAGTGTAAATATTTTCAAAATACAAACTTATTTTTTTAATAAATAAATGCGAAATATTGTACTTATGTAAATTAATCTTTTATTGTAAAGGTGAATCAATTCACATTAATCTCAATATTTCCGCTAGATATGATGGCCATATTTGAACGTATGTATGCATTCCAGTTACATATGGACATCACCATTAGTACATAGTAAATTGTCAGTATGATTCGTTGAGTAAGATAACGCAGACTACTGCTTTTCGATGATTGGAACGCCTTTGAGAAAGAATTTTTTTTTTATAAAATAAAAGTTGTGTATGTTTTATGGTTACTAATTTAGTGGCTACCACTTTTTAGATACGTTTCGATTGCGAACCTGACTTATAATACGTTACTGAGTATAATCATTGTAAAAAATAAAAATAAAATAAGGAAACTTGTACAGTTCAGCTACTTATTTATAACACACAGAACTACTAAAATTATTGCCTGAACACAACATTTCTGAGATATTATTAGTAAGTATGTAAGTATGCATTTTATTAATATAATGGCTGCTTAATTTGTGCGTCGTGCTTATTGTTATAATACAATATATCAAATACGTATGTACGTATACGTTTTTTTCAGAAAAATATTGCTACTTTCAAACTATTCTCAAATTAACCACTGCTGAGTGTTTTTGAACGGAAGTGTTTTTACTTTTAAGTACAAAATTTGCTTACATATGCATATGCCCAGTTGGAAGTAAGTACTCTCGTTTACATTTTTTCATTTCACTTTCTTTTTTGCTTAACCCCTTGCCACACTACATCATTGTCTTGCATTCATATTCCACTAGGCTGTGTTGTATGCAATGATTAATTTCTGCAAAACTAGGACGTTCGTTAGGTTTACGATTCCAGCAACGCCGCATTAAAGCATAAACCGATAATGGCGTATTATCCGGACAGCTAAGTACATTGCCTTCCTTGATAAACTTAATCACCTCTTCGTGTGTCAGCCCAAAGTAAGGTTGAAGAGCAAAAGAGAAAATCTCCCATAAACAAATGCCATACGCCCAAACATCCGATTCAATGGAAAACTTATTATACAAAATACTTTCGAGCGGCATCCAACGTATCGGTATAACATCGTTCTCATCACCCTTATAGTAGTCCTGCAGATATATTTTATGTGACAAACCAAAATCAGCGATTTTTACTTCCATCTGTTCGTTGATTAGACAATTGCGTGTAGCCAAATCTCGATGTACAAATTTACGTTCTGACAAATAGACCATACCGGCGGCAATTTGAGCTGCAATCTGCAGCAGATGGCCCTCATTCAATTCCTGACGATTTCGTTGTTGTATTTGATGTGTGGCGTAAGGAGAACAAGCGCGCAAAAATTCACTCAAATCGCCAGGTGACATGAATTCGAAGAGCAAACACATGGGACGACCTAGTGCACATACGCCGAGTAGTTTAACAATATTGGGATGATCAAATTCGGCTAGTAGGCAAGCCTCCCGCTCGAAATCCATTTGCATTTGATCACTGGCGTCGTCCTTTAACATCTTCACGGCGACCAGGTAGTCATCATTGCCAGGTACAAGACCAGGTGCTTTAGCCTAAAAAGAATTGAAAAATATACAACTTTCAAAATTTTATCCAACTTCTTTTAACAGAAACACTACCTGAAACACTCTACCGAACGCGCCCTGTCCCAGGGAACGCACATACACGATATCACCGCGTGGATATTCCAGCTTCTCTAATTTGGTATTTAAATTATTTTTTGGTTCTGCTGAGCTATGGACGGTAGCCGTGCTTTTTAAAGTGCCACACTTATTGCTCATCGCCATTGCATTATTCGAACCCAAAGTTTCTCTACTCTCTGCCAAGTTGCATTCACCGCCGCCGCCACGCACTGAAACATTGCACTCGGACGTGGGCACCTGTTGTCGTTGCTGTTGCAGCGAGTACTCCTTGTGTCTCGAAATTTTGTGTACCAGTAAGATAATCAAATGCAGCGCAACGATGCCAACGAAACCGATGCCGGCAAGTAAGAAGATCATTGATGGAGTGAAGAAAGTTTCCATTTTTATGGGTGTGTTAAGATCTTTGGCAGTGAGATCAATGTAGTCGGCTGCATATATGAAAATATGAAGCAGTTATGTACATGTAAAATTTCATCCAATCTCTAATATGCTTACGACAGAGTGGTATATCACAATGTTGCCAACGCAAAGATTCGTCTAGTGTATAGCACCAGGGATAGGGTTCTTCACCGCCGGCATTGCGGCAGTAATTTTCACCTTCGGCTATTTGTGGAAACACCTGCGGCGGTTGGATATGTTTATGTGGATGTTGTACATCCCAGCGTTGGCAGGGTAAACCTGTTTTCGTAACATTTATGGTACCAAGGTAGTAGCGGCCGTTGCCATTGCGACAATCATCTATCGAAAAAAATAAATTCAAGTTATAGAAAATTAGTCTTCAATAGTATTTAAAGAGCTTAGTTCTATTTATCCCATCTTACAGCTTATTTCATCTTCTTTGATCTCGGTGAGTCCAATATATGAACAATTCGGTTTCTTAGCTGTGGCATTATATCTTGGCAGCACACCGCAGTTGGGCAGTCGAAAATGTCCACGACTCTTTAAAAATATATTTCGCTCCTTCTTTTCTTCAATCAATACCCAGTCATTGTAGCAGAATTGTAGATGAGTTGCCGTGCAGTCCTCATAGCAAAGCGGCACCTTAATTGTGCGTCCATTTTCAGTTTGACAGTGAGGAAAAGCATAGGCGCATAGTATTTTCTGTAACGAAATTAGCGTTTCAATTTCTAAACGTATTACAATGGCTACAACATAACAAAGCACTCACCTCAGCTGCCACACGACATAATCCGGCCAGATCTGCAATTAATTCCTCCCATAAGGCGGTCGTTATCTGCTCATTCTTCCACCCACCCGTTGGGTCTTCACGGCTATACCACACCTGTCCGCTTATATATTGCTTACAAATTTTACCATTGTATGGCGCACAATAGCCCTTTTCCTCGTATTCGTGCTCACGCCATCTCTCAGCATTCACCGCGCTATATTGATGGTGATGATGCTGATGGCGTCCGCCTGCTGTCCCACTATCATCCTCCAATACTGCCTTCAGTGAACTAGTTGCAGCAGCAGTATTGGAGCAGCCGATTGTAAACAAAAATACCGCAGCCACCGCGAGCAAAACAAAAGTCCGAATACGAAAACAGCAACCGCCAATAAAGTAGCCCAAAGCAAAATTGCCGCCTTTGCCACATTTCCGCTTAAGACTAACGCCGCAAGCGCCAACACTACCCACACCAAACGTTGAGCTGCTTCTGGTATTTTCTGTTGGCTGCGCCCCCTTTTGCACAATGCTCGCGTACTTCATCGTTGTGCTTGTCGATGTGTAAAGTGAAAACTAAGTTTTTCACAAGTTTTTACGACACATTTTTAACATTTTTGTTAATAAAAATGTTGTGCACAACTTAGGTAACAAGTTATTGATATTTTTTAGCAATTCTTTTGCTATTTTTCTTTAATATAGTGTAATGAAAAATATCGCAATTATTTTTTCTGTCTTTTGAAGACGCCTTACGAACTGCAAATGACAACTGGGAGGATAATTAATAGTAGGTATTGCTAGGGGTGGTTTTCCACCAAAACAGGGATGTTTTACACTGCGCAAAGGACTACGAAAAAAGGACGAAAATTATTTACGGCAACAGCTGACTTTATGTTAGAAGATAAGTTAAGAAAAATGTAGGTTGGCTTTACATATTTTATTACATATTATTCGTTTACATTACACTAGATACGTGATTAAATTGAATATTTACACGGCATTTATTTATCTTCATCTGGAATGGTTTCCAAGCCCTGGTGGATTAAAAAAAAATTATTTTGATTAAAATCACTTCTGAAAGGATAATCATGCCTATTTCGGTATCCGACGGATGTCATCCGCATGGATCTAGTCCTATTCGCACTGTCATAAAAAGCGAATGTGAAGGATAAGATTCGTGCGAATAAGAACCGTCGGACCGTAATAGGCATGAATATGTATGTACATATTTTAAGATTTTAAATAGTTTAATCAGAGAAATGCAAGCATCAGTTTGAGTTTTCAGGTTTATAAATCAAACTGTGAGCTTTTCAACTGAAATGGAGGGATAAATTTCTAACACGGGAAAGTATTTGTGCATATACTACGTACATATGTACATATGAGTTGGATCGTATGCTAGGTGACTTCCTTTTCTTATGAACTTATGAAAGCCAATACCACGGATAATCGCACTAACTAGATGGCAAACTTTCAGCACAAAAAAGACACAAAGCTTAACAAATATCAAGTAAGGCAATTAATATAGCCAAAATACTTCCATAAACTAGAGTTCAACAGCTCCATAACATAAATTTCTATACAAGTTTTTGTCTTGTTTATAAACAAGCACTCGTCGAAATACTACTTTCCAACTAGTTGATACTCACATTCTGAATGTACGGATTGTTGGTTAGTCTGCTGTCACGTTGGTACAATACTCGGTCGAAACGCTGATCCATATTGCGGCGATAGGACTGTTTAAAAGTGTAAAAAGAACAAAAATTATTACTAAAATATATAGATGTCGACAGATGATATTGTTAAGTAAAGCGCAATATACGTTTTAACATATTTATATTGGAAATAAAGATGCTTAAAAAATGTGAAGCTCTGAGAACCAGCTCACGATTATATAAGCTGACCATTTCGTCCGATGTGTGTCTCAACCAACGTCTACTTACATTGCCCAGAGTCAACTTGTTTAGGCCCCACATAGCGTATACGGGGACTGAGAGCACGACGGTAATAATACCAGCTGAAGGTAAGATTTCATACCACATTTTTTATTAAATTTGGTAGAATTTCAACTATATAAAATGGAGTAATATCACCGAAATCTCGAGCACCGATACAATCAGAATTTGACCAATTCCCTGACAGCGAGTAATGGAGGTGACAGTTGAATCAGCTGTTAGCTGTCAAGAGCGAAACAGATGCGCTGCGAGAAAGCGAAAACCGACGGCGTCAATTAATTTCGGAGCTAAAACCATGAACCAACTAGTCGTTGGTTCATGAGCTAAAACCAGTCGAGTAACCGTATCTTAAAATAACCGTTAAAAACTTCTTTAATAGGGACAGTACACGGATTGTAGAAAAAATGTATGCTGTTTTATTTAACACACAAACAATTGTAGAAGTTTGTAGATTTTTTAGAATAAACAATATTAGATTTTTTTCTCATATAGGATAAAGCAATGATAATTCATAAAAGGTGGTGATACCAGAGCAGCTATATTTTCGCCTCGGTGGTTCTTAATGCCCAAATGATGTGCTTGTTACAATTTTTACAGGTTATTTGCGTAAAATTTTACAGTTTAATGTTTATTTTTTATTCGCTTTGGGATAAATTGTATTTTTGAATAAAACAGCGAAAAATGTAATACACGTTAACTTGATTCGAATCGAACTAAATAAAATGGCAGCCGTTTTCTCTCCAATAAAATTTTAATTGAAATACGATTGCCTACCGAATTCCGTAGTCCGAAAAAGATATTTCGAATCGAATCTCATTCGATTACGAATGCCTTGATTCCTGTATTAGTTTAATAGGAGGCACAAACAATTACTCGGAAATATCGGATTTGAAATTACTGAAGTTTGAGCGTCCCAACCAAAGGTATTGAAAACCAAAAGATTTACATAAACACCTGATAGGGATGCAATTTCACTTTTATACGTATTGGTTATGATCAGGGGGTCAATTCTCATTCTGCGTTATAATGAAGTAAAAAAATAAAACTTTAGCACCACATTTATTTCGGTATTAATATTTGAAAACACTTCACGATAACGCAGAACGGTAATTGACTCCCAGAGTTTACTTTTCATTTCCATGACATAATATATACTTATGTTTATTTAAATCTCCCTGCTTTGTTTCCAGAAAATATTGGTTGGTAAAAAAAAAAAATATAATATAGCTAAAGAACGTAGACAATCTACGTTCATTGATATAGCTAAAGTTGGTAAATCTACTAATAAAGTGCTAAGGCCCGTGCATTGAATAGGACTCTTCTAATAGGACATGTTACTTGGTGACTCGGTATTCGGTGGTTTATCTCCATTTATTTTGTGTTCGTAGACAATTCTTTTACCGGTTTACCGAATACCATTCGGATTCGGTATTTATACCAAAATGCCTAGAGTATGAGAACGAATTATTTTTTTCCTTTTTCCTGCTAAGTTAATTTAGTTTTATAGCAAGGCAAATATTAGATTAAAAAAAAGATGTTCGGTATGTTTTGCCAACTGCTATATTAGAATCCGAATATATATATACTAGAGACATAGGATCGACTTTGTGCTCACGTAGCTATTCGGGTTCAGATATACAATTTTCGTAGATTTTACAAAAATCGACGGTATGATTTATTGAGCAATATGCAGCTGGGATTCGGATGATTAACCGGTACTAGTTAATACACATGTAGTTATGTTCATATAAAGAACTCCAATACAAAAATATTAATTTATTATTATATTTTTTGGGGGTTTTCAAACCGTTATGTTTTTTCAAATAAAATTTTAAAGAAATTCTTGAAATATTGGTTGAGAAAAATATTTCGATTTAAAACCCTTGCTCTCTTTCATGCTCTTGCTTTAGCGGTGTGACATTTGTTTTAAGTAGATTGCATGAATTTCCAATTTCACCTATCACCGGCCGCAGTTTGGAAACAGTTTTGCCATTTTACCCGTTTTCCAGCTAGATTGAGCCGGTTGCGAATAAAGAGAAAACTAAGTTTAGCCGGCAGTATATTTGTTTGCCGCTTTAACAAAAAAAAAAGGCCGTTTTAGCCGATTTTGCTATTTGCAATATTTTTTTTAAATGTATATATATGTGTATATGTTTCTATTTTTACAATTTAGGGACCCAAAATCTATTATCTCAGAGAGATTTTTCATGTCGCGCTGTGTAAAATATATACAATCAAATACCGGGCCGATTTCAGTGATTTTTATTTTAAGCACATATACAGTGACCCAAATACAAACTGGGACGTGACATTTTAGCAAGGTTTGGCTATTTTTCTTTAGTTAATTTAATGTTTATTCTTGTTTATTCTTTTTTATGAAAGTATAGCTGATTACTTTAAAAATACTATTTAAATCCGAACTTCATTATTTGTGAAAATATTATGAAAATTTTGCTAATTTTCACCAAAATTTTAGCATAATAATGTAACAATTTAAAGTACCTAGCATTTACCGCTTACTTTTGGAATTTTTTTTTGTTGACGGACGGTATGTCACATTTCTTACATATAAAAAGCTTGTCTAGCATACTTTGTATGTAAAAAAATTCATAACACCGTCATTAGAAAAAATCCCAAAAATCAGTAGTAAGTCCAAATTCGCACCTCATTAAACTAGAATTTAAAAGAATACACAACTGCACACCATAATTTTTACTAAGGTTGCCGACTAAATAGTCAAAAATTTTAGCGAAATTTTGCATTCATTTAATAATTATTTTTACTATGGTGGGATAGTTTTGGCAATCTGCTGTGTGAAATCAAATCTTTTTTGACAGCAGTAAATTTTTGATAACTGCTGATTTATGCGGAGTAAACTAGTTTCATAGCCATAGCTATGACAAATTAAAGTGAAATTTATATTTTAAGAAAACATCTACCATCGTTGGTTGCATTCATCAATTTATTTTATTTTACGAAATATTACACACAGCAGCAATCTTTGCGATTGCCAAAATTTTCTATGCATTTGTTAAAAATTACACTAGCCTCATGAGCTACTGAAATTTTATTCACCTCATACTTGTCAAAAATTTATTTGTCGCGAATTTTTTTACCGATTCACACACGCTTAAGGTAAAATTTTTCACTAGAAAAAAAAACGCCATAAGTTTATAATTCATCTTTTTTTTATATTTATGTAAGTAATACAAACATGACTTCCTTTGTTATAAAAACAATTTAATGAGTTTCTAAGTCTTCAACTTTATTCAAATAAAACATGTTAATATTAGCTGAAGCATTTTATACCATGTTCGGACCGTCATCGAAAACATGTTTTCGTTGCTATAACTGGTTTTCGACCAAAACTTGTGTTTTCGTCCATGTAAAATCTGTCAAATGAAAACCAGTTTTCGCCGAAAACTACTTGAAAACTCACGTTCCACTCATTCCAATCGGTGTCTTCTCTAGTATTTTAGATATGTTTATCGAAGTAGGAGTCATGAACCAAAAATACAAGATCACGTAAGAACGCGACGTTGTATTTGTAACTGGTTTTGAGAAAAAAGTTTGCGAAAGCGGGTTCGTCAGCTGAGCGTTTGTTTACATCACAGGCACCACTATTTTACACTTTTATTCAAGTAAAGAAGAGTTAATTCAACATGACAACACGTTATAAAGCATTTTGTTGCATCATTTTACCTAAATTGTGCGTTTAAAGTGGCTGACAATAATTTTGGCTAATTTTGGTTTTCGTTGTTTTCTTTGCTTTGTTTACTTTTCGCTCGTTTTCCAGTGAATCAAGATGGCGTAGAACCCGCTAAAAAAATCGACTTTTTTCACTCTCTTGTTCTTACGTGATCTTGTGTCTTTCGTTCATGAGTAGGAGTCATATTTTATCATTTCTAAGGGTAAGAACATACTGGAGCGGCGAGCAAAGAGCATCGAGCAAAGCGTCGATTTCAAACGCATATGTTTCAATGGGAAAGCGCATAGTCAAGAGCAAAGCGTACACATGATGCAATAATACAAGGTGGTATCAATTGTGACAGCTCGATTTGACACTGCCTTAGCTCAGTAGAACGAGAAGAAAAACGGGAAGAAATTAAGCCCTATTTGGGGGAAAAATATAAAATTTCACATTTTTTTCTAAACAAAATTTGCTTTTTTATAGTGTATTCGTAATGAAATGAAATAAAATAACATAAAATACCTTTTTAAGAAAAAAAGTGTGTATACTGAGAAAAAATAAAAACATGTTCAACTATATTAATAGGCAAATAATTGTTAAAGAAGTAGCACGGTCTCACCTAAGGCAGTCAATATGGCGGAATTAGAGCGAGAAGTTGCCAACTGATAACAGCTGTATTATTGCATCGTGAAGCGTACATACACATTTGTATTGAAGCTTTGCTCAATGTTAGCTCTTGGCTTTGCTCGTCGCTCCACTATGTTTTGACCCTAATACGTTAGTTGGGATTTATTGTAAATTGGTTGGCGAAATTAAAATATGAACAAAAGAAAAAGGTTGCTAATGATAAGAAAATTAAAGACAAAGATTTTGATTTTTTTTTTTTTTTTTTTGTAGCAGAACTGTAAACAAATGACGAAAGAAATGTCAACACTAACACTAACAGCCGGTGCGAACAGCTTTCAGCCCACAATCCCAAAAACTCGTTTTCTTTCGTTGTCGGTCATTAGCAGTTTTAGTCGTTTTTTGCCAATTTAGCCCATGAACCAAAAATACATATTCACGCGGGCAGGAGAGTAGCCCGTTAGAATCGCATTTAGAAAAAAAGTTTAAAGATTTTGACATTAGCCGTTTGTTTACATTTCTTCGTTGTTTACAATTTGGTGGTGGCTTTTTACTGCAATTTTCTTCATTTTCGCCTGTGATAACGTGTGTACACATAAGATAAAGAATAATTTAACACAACGGCATGATTTATAGAAGAATTTGCATAATAAAAATGATTATTCATGCGTTCAACAATTTCGCGGTTTTCTCTGTTCTCGCCGTTGTTTACTGCTTACAACAAAGATCACGTCGAGATTTCGGCAGCTATAAAATAACTTTTTTCTTTCTTTATTTCCCGCGTGATCTTGTGTCTTTCGTTCATGAATTTATGCCTGGGTTATAATGGAAGTAACGGAACGGAGTGAACTTTCACTTAAAATTAATTAATTTTATCTATTGTATGGGAAATGAATGCAAATGGTTATAATGCACATAAACGTAACGTAAAACGGAACAATCTAAAATCAATAGATTCCTACGAATTCGCTGCGATTTGTTACGATTCGCCCCGTCCATTATAACCAAGGCATTAGCCGGTCCCTCTAAGTTCTGGCAACACTGTTTGGAAACGGCATGTTACAAAAACAACAAGCACAAAACCAACAAAAGTGACAGTTCCCACGGTGACAATTGCATTTCATCGTTCCTTCCAAAGACGGTAGAAAAAATTGTTGATCGGTCTTTTCGGGCAGGCAGTTTTTCGCAATTAGTTTTAATTTGTAAAAATCAATTATTTTGTGCTTTCTTCTATAAAGTTCAGCGTAGAAGAGCCATAAAAGCAACTCCAAGCTCGAGAAAAATTTGCCAGAGCCTGCTCACGACTCGAAGATACGTAACGATTAGTACCGTTGTAGGCCAACAGCAAATTAAAGTGGAAAAGGAGGATCAGGAGCAGCTGCAAAAAATAATGGCGAGCAATAATAACAGCGGAATAATTGAACCAACTTTTCCGACTGGTGCACTGGTCCCCAAAGCGGAAACTGGTGTTATAAACTTTTTACAAAAGTATCCTGAATATGATGGGCGTGACGCGGTGATCGCTATTTTCGATTCCGGTGTAGATCCGCGTGCCACAGGCCTGGAGGTAAGACTTTTTGATGTTCTTGTAGGTTATGGACAAGTGGCTTCACTTGGTCGTGGAAATGTTTTCTAATTTTATTTTCCTGCCAGACGCTATGTGATGGAAAAACAGTTAAGGTGATCGAACGTTTTGACTGCACTGGTTGCGGTGACGTGGACGTGTCAAAAAAAGTAACCGCGAACGACAAAGGTTTCATCACCGGAATTTCGGGTCGCCAACTTAAGGTAAACACAAAAGTTTATAACCGGCTTAGCAAGACCATAAAAGAAGTATCTTAAAGTATTACATATTATAATTTACAAGCCATAAATGATTAAGAATTGGACTCAAATAGTATGCGCTAGCATTAAGACCATACAAATTCAACAAATGATTGAGGTTTTGAACTAATTGCTTAAAGTATGAGTTAAAGTGCAAATCATCATAATTATGATTATACAGTTTTTATATTAGCAATGCATTAATATCTGAATTGCAAGCATACGCAATTAATATTGTACTTCTTTGTTTTGTTTATTTACACTTAACATTAACAAACAAATATTCATACATAAATAGATATGTAAGTGTAATTCGTTTCTTTATCTAATCTTTAATCTATTGTAGTTGACACCTCAAATGACTGCTTCAAATACTGCCAATGGCGAGTATCGCATAGGTTTGAAAAATTTCTATGACTTGTGCCCATTTAAGGTGAGGGAAAATATAATAAACTTTAACAAAACCAAGGAATGGGATGGGCCCAATAAACTTGCCGCCGCTGCAACTTCACGTAAATTGATCGAATTCGAAGCTCAAAACTCAGGTGATTGTCGTAAATTAAATATTTGTTAATTTTTATCATGATTTTTTGTTAATTTTTTTACAGACTTATCAAAACTGAGTTGGGATAAAAAATTGATAAAAGAAGATTTAGACAACACCTTAGAAATGCTAAACAGTTATGATAAGCTTTACAAAGACATCAAAACTACGTATGATTGTATATTGTATCAAACTGCAAATGGCTGGCAAGCGGTAATCGATACCACAGAGAAGGTAATTAATAACAGTCTTATAACACATTATTGTATTAACTATATTAGTTGCTTAGGGTGATCTTGAAAATGCGCTGCACATTGGCGAGTACGCAAAGACGCATGAGATTAAAAATGTAGATAATTTCTTCTCAATTTCCATCAATGTGCACGACAGTGGGGATCTGCTGGAGGTTGTGGGCATGTGTTGTAAGTTACGGGAATTATTTTATGAAGGACATTATTAACCTCTGCTTATAAATGATTTCAGCATCACATGGCACTCATGTTGCTTCCATTGCTAGTGGCAATCATGCTTCCAAAGATGTGGATGGTGTAGCGCCGAACGCGCGTATTGTTTCGCTTACAATTGGTGATGGACGGTTGGGGTCTATGGAGACTGGCACAGCACTAGTTCGGGCCATGATGAAAGTAATGGAATTATGTCGATCTGGCACCAAAATCGACGTCATCAATATGAGTTATGGCGAGCATGCACATTGGTCGAATGCTGGGTAAGTCAACTGTATGAATTTTTTTTAAGTATTAATTTTTTATCATATTTAATTAATATTAAATTTCAAAATTGTACAAAAACGAATCTACTTTGAAATTGAATTGCACAAAATAATTAAAATATGAAATGACGTGAAATGAATTTAACATGAAAGCCCTTTGGTTGTTGATAAGAAACGTAAAAAGAAACGGAAGGCCTATATGAGGTAAAATATATCCCCGTTTGTTTAATAATTAGTTATATAAGCAGACTTTGATAAACATTTTATACATTTGTGAATAACAATGCATTTGTGCGTATCCACAAAATTACTAAACAAAAAATTTCAAAGTAAATTCAGTTAATAATTCCTAAAATTGGTTATTTCTTGCATTGGCTAGCTATGTATAAATATTTGTAAGTTCTAACATTTGGATTTCATTTGCTGTTTTAAATGTTACATTAACGAAATGGTAACAAAAAATAATGATTTTCAATTCTTTTATTTGTAATTTTCAGTCGTATTGGGGAATTGATGAGTGAGGTGGTAAATAAATACGGCGTTGTATGGGTAGCTTCTGCTGGCAATCATGGCCCTGCCCTTTGCACGGTGGGCACGCCACCAGATATAAGCCAGCCCAGCTGCATTGGTATGTAAAACATAATAAATCCTAGAAATATATTTGATACACATTTTTATTTAAAATTATGCTAAATAGGTGTTGGGGCTTACGTCTCGCCACAAATGATGGAGGCGGAATATGTAATGCGCGAAAAGCTGCCTGGCAATGTTTACACTTGGACATCGCGCGATCCCTGTATTGATGGTGGTCAAGGTGTAACAGTGTGTGCGCCTGGTGGTGCTATTACATCAGTACCGCAATTTACTATGAGTAAATCGCAGTTGATGAATGGCACCAGCATGGCAGCACCGCATGTTGCCGGCGCGATAGGTAGGTAGACTGTTAAAGGCTTAAAATTGATGTGGCATACTTACATATCTATTTTTGTTTCTATGCGTAGCCCTTTTAATATCTGGTCTCAAACAAAAAGGTATTAAATATTCTCCATACAGCATTAAGCGCGCAATAACAAACACTGCCACCAAGCTTGGCTATGTTGACCCATTTGCACAAGGCAGCGGTTTGTTGAACGTAGAAAAGGCGTTTGAGTATTTGACACAACATGATAATGCCATTGAGAATATGTTGAGGTAAGACGATAGTCCTTTTGTATAAATCACTATTTAAAATGTTCCAAATAATTACAGATTTGCCGTGCGTTGTAGTGCACAAAATGCCAAGGGCATACACTTACGACAGGGCGTGCTGAAGAAGCCAATCGAATGTGATGTTAGTATTGAGCCAGTTTTCTTCAACGAACTCGAAACTGGTTAGTTAAATATAAAAAATTTGAATATTTAATAGCAGTATAATAATTTCTTCATTCATTTAGAACCACAACAAAAGTTCAGTTTTAATGTACGTTTGAATCTGGTCTCCTCGAAGCCATTCGTGCAATGCGGTGCTTACTTGGATTTAAGCTATTCGTCGCGTTCGATGTCGGTAAAGATCGATCCTACTGGACTACAGCCTGGCGTTCATACGGCAATGTGAGTGTGGAGCGGAGTGGTTCGCTAAAAACGGATAGTCTCTGCATTTGATTTTTCTTTTTCCTGTTTTATTTTAACAGTATATCTGCATACGACTCAAACTGCGTACAGAAAGGAGCTCTTTTCGAAATACCAGTCACTGTAGTGCAACCACATACCGTCAATTGCAGCGAGTCGCGCACCTTTCATTGTTCATCCGCTAAGAACGATGGTAGCATAGAGTTCCAACCTAATACTATACAAAGAGATTTTATTTTGGTGCCAAATAATGCAACGTGGGCCGGTAAGTCAAAATATTCACGTTTACCCATACTAATTTGCTGACTAACGACTTCTCATATTTTTGTTGTTCTCTGGTACAGTGCTCAAAATGCGTTCGACTGACAAAAATCGTGAAAATGACGTTGGCAGATTCTTTGTACACACAATGCAAATATTGCCAAAATCATCATGTCGCATGTTAGAGACTATGAAAATTTTGGCCGTGAATTCGGAAAACGAGACCACTTTGCATTTTCCCGTTGAGGTAAAGAATAGCTATTAAATATTGTTTTTTAGATATATTTTAAACCATCGATAAACGTTTAATCTCAACAGGAGAACAATATTCTAGAGCTTTGCATTGCAAAATATTGGTCCAACTATGGCACAACGCATATCAAATATAGTTTAGAATTTCATGGCATAAAAGCAATCAATTCAAGTCCATGTACGTAAAAAATATATCTTCTTAGTTCCTCAGTCTAATTTTGATTATTATATTATATTTCATGTACGCTTTTATGCCATTCATAACTTTAGACATGATGCAGGCAGCACGTGGCCTTCACAAGCTGGATTTTGTTGCATTAAATAGCGAGGATTTGCAACCACAAGTTCAGCTAAAGACTGCCGCTGTGGTGCTGCGACCCAGCGAAGCCCGCATTTCGCCGCTCAGTCCAACTCGCGATGTCATACCCGAAGGTCGCCAAATATATCAAAATCTCCTAACGTATACGCTCCAAGTTCCCAAGGCACAAGAAATTGCACTATATGCACCCATTTTCAATGCATTGCTCTACGAGGCCGAATTTGAATCACAGCTTTGGATGATGTTTGACTCCAATAAGGCGGTAGTTGCTTGCGGAGATGCACATTCGCATAAAGTTTTTACGAAATTTGAGAAGGGCGAGTATACGATTAAATTGCAAATACGCCACGAAAAGCGCGATCTGCTGGAAAAAGTATCAGAGGCTAATATGGTAGCACTGTTCAGGTTTGCTAACGCAATCACTCTGGACTTCTACGACCATTTCAATAACTGTCTGGTCGGCAGACGTAAATTCACCAGCTGTATTGTGAAGGACAATCCACCCAAGGTGCTGTATGTTGCCCCGTTGCCACAGGAGAAGTTGACAAAGGCCAATTTGCCTGCGAGTAGCGCTTGGTTGGGCGGTACCATTACATTCGCCAAAGATGAGGCAGTACGTCGTATTGACGCACATGAATTTACATATTTACTAAATCCACCAGAAAAGAAGAACGGCAATGGCGGCAATTCCGGAAGTGGCAGTGGGACGGCAAACGCATCTAAGTCGAAAACGAATGTCTCAATTGCGAGCACATCTACAACCACCACGACAAACTCAACAACAGCTACAACAGGGGCTAATTCCGCCGCTTCCGGTGATGGTGCTGCTAAAGTTAGTACTGATGGTGCTGCATCGCCCAAGAAGTCGGCTGCCGACGAGTATGCCGAAGGCTTACGCGACTACCAGTGCATGATGATCACCAAATCCGGTAAGTGTTCTTGAAATTCGATGTTAGAGCACTTTGAAACATTTTCCTTGCTTACAGAGGTAGGCAAAGCTGAAGACATTTACGATGAGGTGATTGCTGCGCATCCCAAACATTTGGTAGCACACGTATTGTTCATGCAAAATATCGATGCAAATGAATATAAGCCACTTTTGCCGCTTACCTTTGCCAAAATGGTCAATACAAATGTGGATGCCGATAGCCACAAGGAGGAAATGGTAAGGATACGTACTGCATTGGAACGCGTTGCACAGCTGGGCGGTTTCGTCGTAAGTGACATGGCTGATGAATATGACGCTTTATTCGCATATTATGGTCTCAAAAATGATACCCGTCCAGATGCCAGTAAAATCAAGACGTAAGTTGATTGCAATTTTGCATTTTGGTAATACGTAACTATTATTTGAATTTACAAATTCCCAAATATAGCAATATGGACAAGAAAAAGGCAAATTTGTTGGAAGCTCTAGCCAGAAGGGGTGTGGCCAAAATTAAGATAAGCATTATCGATGGCAACATGAAGGATCACTTGGAAGAGTTCAGTGAAATTTATGTTGAAATTTCCAAGCTGGCTGACCCCACTGACTCAAAGGTAAAGTAGAAAGAAGATTGAATAAGAATAATTATAAATTTTTTTATTACAGGTCATCAATTTTACACTCTGGCATGCGTTTGCAAATTCGCAATATGGTCGCATGTATAAAATACTGCAAAAAATGTACGATGACAAACGTCAACGTGATATACTAGAAGAGTTAAATTTGGTGGCAGGTGCTTTAGAATTCGGGCATCTACAGACAGCCATACAGCGTATGACTGTAACAGCATATCCGAATGGCTTCCGTATATTCTAATTATTGTAATTAATCCTAAATTAGAAGGAAAATACACTGGTTAGCAAAACGAAGAGAACGCACATCATAAGCAAGGATGTTTAACAAATCTAAGACATTATCTACTTATATATATATAGTTCATTTGTTTTCTCTATAACATCTGTATGTAAGATTATCTTTCTTTAGAAAGTGTGTATTAAGTTTTTTTGTTTAAATTGTTCTTCGGCACTTGTATTGTAATTGTGAAATTTAGCTCAAAACATTGTAAACTCTTCAGCGAGTAAAACAAGGTAAAATTAAAAAATAAAACTTTTTATTACACAATTTATGTGCTTATTATTATAGTACATTCGGCTGGGACGCGAAATAGTTTGTATGCTATTTCGAATAAAGTTTTCTCCCGGAAGAATTCAATAAATGCGGGTGTGTTCAGAAATGCATCAAGCCAAAGCATCAGTCTCTTTTAATTCTAAACTATAATTGATGGAAATGGCAAATATGCGCCACCGTGCAACAAATGCTGAATTGGAACTTAGTTGCATAAATAAGAAATTTCCATCAATTATAGTTTAGAAGTAAAAGAGATTGATGCATTTCTGAACGCACCCACTATTACTTTTTATGAGCATCTAGTGCTACGCGAAAATGTTGGCGACTTGTGCCTCCATCAAGCGTTCGGGGACCAAATTTGTGACAATCAGTTGCTCATCACTGACAAATCACAAGCAAATACACATTTTTACGGCGTAATTTCTGCAGCATTTCAGAAGATTTTCAATTGAGCATCAGCAACGCTATCAAGAAAGCATACAAAATTGCGGTAATTGTAACGTAGCTCGAGCACACCCCCATTTTTCGCACTTACTCGTTTTTGGGGTGTGGCCATGGTACAATAATTACAGGTATTGTCTTCCCAGAGAGCGCATATTCCGATCTGCCTTATTTGAAAAACATCATTGTTGCCCACAATAAAATGTTTACTGCTAGGGAAAAGGGATATTTCTTTACCCCATATATCATATATGTACACATATTTGTTTTTAACAAACCTTTGCAAAAGCCAAAAATCATTTCTAAGTAAATACATTCAAGATTTGTATGGCTCACTTCATTTCAAACGTTTTTTTGGCGTCCAGCAATGCAAGGAAAGCTCAACGTCGAAAAGCTGCAATAAGAGCAGTCGGCCAATTTATTCGCCAATCAACTCACACCTGCTCTCAGAAACCACTTTTCAACAAAGAACCAAGCGAGCACTGGAACCACATTTTCCGCTCATTACGTGCGGCTGCCAGTCGAAATAACTGGTATGAACAGGAATGCCCCGGAAGGTGCAGAGGAAAAATATACCACCTCTGGGCCAACGCTGTTATAGGGAGCTGAAGAGGAGAGCGAGGAGTATTTGCCGCCATAAGAAGTGAGCGGCCGAAAAACGTGAATGCAAAGAGCTTGAAATGATGCCAAGAGGACAAACGCCAGAGAGTAACACGATGGTTTTAAAACCAGGGCAAACTCCTGCAAGAACAACCATGGAGACTTAGTTACCGATGTCCAGAAGGTATTTAAATTATACTGGGAAGAGTTTTACACTTTATCGAATGGCAGCAGCACTTAAGGTAGTGGAGAAGACACACTCGGGCCCCAGTCGATTCTGACGGAGTCAGATGTCCCACCTCCTGACTATGACTAGGTTCGAGTAGCGATTACGCAGCTGAAAAACAACAAAGCTGTTGGGAGCATACGGCCTGCCATCCCAACAATTCCACTTCGATCGCGAGGTGTTGATAAGGTGCATGCATCAACTCTTATGTCGAATATGGTCAAATGAACGCTTGCCCGAAAACTGGAATTTAAGTTTGCTCTGCCCAATCCACAGCAAAGGTACAGGTTACAAGGCCTTATCGTGCATATTTTGGGAAAGACTAAAGTCCATCATAAACGAGGTTATTGGTCCTAATCAGTGTATCTTTAGATTTGGCAAATCCACCACAGACCTAGGGGTTTACTCTGTATTGCTATTCGAAAAGCAAATCATTCGGATTCGAATACTTGACACTATGAATATGTATTAGTCCGTGACGCCTTTCGAACCGTATTGAGTTTCAAATCGCGTTGAGTTTCGAATCGCCAAATCTTGAAAACGACTCGTTGGCTTTATGACGCGATGTCTGATTTTGGTATCCCGTAGAACTAATACGGTTGCGTAAAATGACGTTGAACAATGGCATCGGCTCCGTCCGAATTGGAAAGGACCTCTTTGAGCCGTTTGATACCAAACGAGGTTTCCGACAAGGTGACAAAAACTAGGGCTACGTCTATTCTGCCTTCTCTGAACTACCCTGCAAAACAAAGTTCCTGATATCTTAACGAAATCTGTAGGAGCAAAGAAAATTCTGCAGAAATTCTTTACATATCAGCATTATTTTCATTGCTTTACCGATTTTCTTCCCAAAATTTCGTACAAGAATCAAAGTGTGCACAGTTTATTTCACTTTAGAAAATTCGGCAAAAAATCGGATGAAATCTTTACGAATTCGTATCGAGTATTTCTCTGCAATTCAGAATACTCTGAAAAAATGGTTTGCAGGGTAGATAGGGAAGAAAAACATATGGGTATTGGTCATCAGACAAACAGTCAGGGTAGAACCCCCAAGTGTATTTTTGCCGTGGAAAATTGCCTAAAAAAATTCCGCTCAGTATTGGCGTCAAACTCCGTTTGCTCTATTTGTGTCACAATCAATGCACACAACTAAATTGTATGAGAAGCTCGCCAAAACTCATGTATTATATAAGCGCCAAATATTTATTTAGTTTTATTTTTATTTGCTTTCGAATTTACAAAACAGAGCGCTCCGATAGAAATCGATTCTATGAGCTCTTATTTTCACCTGCGAGATATCTGCAGGTATAACAAGGTTTTCCAAGCATGCGTAATTCTCTTCTATAATCTTGCTGTTCCACAGGACAGTAGAGTTTTTCCGTTCAAACGGCATCATTGATATTGTTACCGTGTTGTTTCCAATTCGTCTAACTTCTTCTTGATACACCCAACACCCGTTGATGTGCCGGGGATAACTGGGGCGTTTAAACCATTGTGCGCTTCTTTGTATGCATACTTAACCGCATCCTTTATTAATTTAGTAATCTAAAAAATTCGTAACCACGTAAACCTCGTAAACTTATTTAATTTTGTATGGAAACCCGATTTATTTACGAGCTGTACGCAGTTACGAGGTATTTACGCGTTTACTTGAATACCCATAATATCTTTTCATGTTCGTGAAAGGTTTAAATCAAAACATAGTTGCAGGTTTTGGAAACATACCGACCCCCCGCACCACCTACCACTAGGGTAGCCAGATATTAGTGGGTGTTAAACTAGGTGTCAGTCAGTGGCGGACCCATGGGTGCTGTTTTAACACCCAAACCCCCTATATACATACTTTTCAAATAAGGACCAAATTAAAACTATAAATACGAGTTTTTCAAATATCTCGACCCCTGTGTCATCATCATTTAATTCATCTAAGCTAAGTTGGAAATTCAAGTATCTAGCTCAACGGAAAGTTGGTTAAAAATTTATTGCAAAATTTCACCTAAACGAACATTCTTACATATGTACATACATAAACATATTGTAAATAAATATACATGGACAAATCAAGTTAAGTAAAAAAAAAATCGTAAATATAATAAAGGCTAATTTAGTTTCAATTGAAATATAAATTCCTCCCGAAAACACACTTCAGTTAACACGATATGTACGCACAAAAACACATCTGTGCTCATTAATGTTTTACGTAATTAAAAATTTAAAACTTTTCTTTAGCAAACGCATTTCATATTTCCGCGCTGTCATTAAAAATCGTAATTATCTTCTCTCTCTCAACCCCCGCACACACTGCTGATAATAAATGCCGCTAGCTGCTTCATGATTTGGTCAATCGCCACTCCTGGTTGCAACTCAGCTCGCTTCATTGGCGGCCCTTTCAATGTTCGCGCCAACTTCGCTTCCGGTTTTCAAAGGCGCACAAAAAGAAAAGTCAAAATAAATGAAGAAAAGGCAATTATTCTTCACCACCACCACCAACCACTCAAAACAGCATACATAAATAATTGTAATGTAATTTTTGAGTAGCATTTTGGCAGCTAATGAAAATTTCTACGAAATCTCATTACCATATGCGATATTTCTCGGCCGCCGCCCGCACACATCTGTGTGGCGGTGCGACTTCTGTGTGCGTAATTAACCGAAAAACCAAGATAAATGATCCAGCAGCGCGATCGCTTGTATGTACAACCAAGCCAATGGTGTGTAGGTACTCAGCACCACTCCTTAGTCCCTTTCGCTGCAATTGCTCTTACTGTTGCTGTTGCTGTTGCTGTTGCTTTTGTTTTTGTCGTGTGTCTGAATTTTTGGGGCACGTGTGGCAATTAAAGCGAAACGTTTCTTGGGTTATGGATACGGGAGTTCGGTCATTGCGTTGATTTCTTCTTTCATGGATGAATAAATTTTTAGTTCATTGGGAAATGTAGGTGCAGCATTTTGTGAGGAACAAAATGTTGCATAGACGCTTAACGCACAATATTTTCATATATAGCTTAAGAAATTATTATGAATGAATTACTAAAAACATAAATGAGAAATTCGTAAAAATTATAGCCAGAACGGCAGTGAACTGGACTTCTTTCCTTCCTTAGAAAATAAGCAAAATTAATTTATCATGGTCCTTGACGAAACGTGACTCGGAGCCTGAATATTGAAAAATTCCTAGTATGTAGTAGTAAACATCCCGTCTATCCAAATCTTAGTCAAAGAGAATGTTTCAACTGGGCGGAGATCAAGAATTCATTAGAATTCGGTTCAAAAACGCCCTATATACTGAGATAGGGCGTTCTTCAGCCAAATTCTGAAGTAGGGCGTTCTTGAGAAGTTTTCTGAGATAGGACGTTTTCGAACCGGCTGCCGAGATAGGACGATCTTCCACTCAGCCGACGATATGTACATATTTCATATATATGTTTTAGCTGTCGCTCATCATTGGTAGTTTTTATATAATAGCCCACAGCATTTCTACGTCTAGCATGATTCCAAACAAAAAAAATGCAATACTGCTCTATTTAACTACCATCTATTGGTAGACTACGGCAAAATAGGTTCGTTCGCGTAGCTGTTAATTGTTCATGTTTAACCAAAACTTACAGGTTTTTGCGTTCGCGTACGCAAAAAACTTGCAAACTAGGGGAAATTGAGAGAGCAAAGTGACATTTCATTTTGAGGGGAAGCTGTTAGTTTCTGTTGGAAAAATTTTTGCCAACAGCAATTTGCCAACAGGGAAACAGCTGATCAAAAACAGCTGGTTGGCATTTACGCAAATCACAAAATTTAATTTGATGGTTTGGAAGATAAAAATTACAAAATGCGACAAATTAAACTTGTAAGAAATAAGTAGTTATTTGTTTAATCAATAAACTGTGTCAGTATAACACTTTGCGATGACTTTTCGTACGTTTTAAATTTTACACTTTTGTATGTAAACAAAAATTATATCAGCTGTTCGTCTAACTTGCAAGTTTCTGCAAATTTTCTGTTCGCGTACTATTTTGGATATTTTTCTCTTGTGAGCGAACAAATGACATTTCGCCGGAATTTGGCAGTTGGTTGGTTTCTGTTGGAGATTTTAAACGAACGCACCTAATGTTGAGCAAGCTGCGCCATTTAGTTTATGTTCGACAGCCATTGAAAGCAGACTATCTCGGAAAATTTTAACGAAAACGGAAAAAAGTGGATTGCGTTTGCCGGTTAATTATTATTTTTTACGTCAAAAATCCATTACCGAAACCAAGGAAACGATATGGGATGATAGGGAAATAAAAGTGTGTGAGGTGGCTGAGACTGTAAGCATCTCAATTGAGTGTGTACATCATATTTTACATTAATATTTGGATATCGAAAGGTTATTCGCGCTATTGGTGCGGCACGAGCTCTCACTTGACCATAAACGCAACCGCGTGGCCACTTCAAAGGAGTGTTTAGCGTGGTTCAGCCGCAATCCGAACCAGTTTTTGAACCGTTTCGTAACCGTTGACGAAATATGGATCCAACACCCAACACCAGAGACCAAGGAACCATGAAGAAGTGCACCAAAGAAGCAGAAGAAAGTGAGTCTATAGGCCAATAAGGTCATGGCCACAGTTTTTGGGATGCACGCGGTGTCATTCACATCAATTACCTTGGAAAAGCTAAAACGATCAGTGTCAAATTTTATTCACAGATTTTCGATAGATTCGATATTGATTTGAATCAAGGAACACCATATTTGGCCAAGAAAAAAGTGCTCTTCTATCAAGAAAATGCCTGGGTGCACACGTGTGTAGTTACCATAGAAAAAATCCATCAATTGGGCTGCGAACTCCTACTGCATCCGCCATATTCATCAGATTTAGCCCACAGCGACTATTTCCTGTTTCCAAATCCACAGAAATGGCAGGGCGGTAAGAGATTTGGGTCAAATGAAGAGGTCCGTCACTGAAACAAACGCTTATTTTGAGGACCTTGAAATATCTATTAATTGGAAGGGATTAAAAATTTGGAAAAACGCTGGACCAAATGCATTGAGCTATAAGGAGACTATGCTGCGAAATAAACTGCTTTTTTGCCGAAAAATATATCTTTTATTCAAAAATTCACCGATTTTTCAAACCGCCCTCGTAGCACGAGTATATCTGTCACGAATAAAATATACAATTAACGAAATATTTATTTTATAGCTGGTAATAACAGAAAATAAGTCTACAGTTATAAATAGCTGGAAAATAATTCGAATAAAAATTAAAAAAAAAAAGATTGAAAAAGGTGAATGTTTGCCTGTGACGCAAACGGCAGTGCGCCCGCTCGTCGCCGAATTTAATTTATAATTAGCATCTGTGACATTCACAACATTTTAACTCAGATACCGTTAGTGCGCGCGCTAAAAAGCATAACTACTAATAATTTTTTTGAGCCTACAGGACAAGAAATACATACATAGATATGTAGTACATATTTTGCACATTTGTTTATATTACGGTGGTCCAAAGTTTTTTCTAGCCACCCACAAACCCTGAAGAATATCGAAAATAAGAAGACCCATATTTTTATTTATTTTGAAGTTGGTAATCTTATCTCTTAAATATTTAAAAAAATGTGTTAGGTTATGCGTTCGTAAATGGGTAGGAAAATTTGAAAGCTAAATATGCGTTAGAGGGCTGCATTTAGATTTGATTATTTTACTTTACATACAAAACACTCAGCGTTTGGAATTTTGTAAGTTATGAATATACATTTTGTTCTAAATTTTCTACATCCAAATGGAAGAATGTGAATGAATCAATGAAAAACATTCAAATCATTCAAACTCATTTCGATAAAAGTTTTTTTCTACAAACAAATTTGTTCGTATATCGTACAAAAGATTGCCATTTATTTCAATTCTATTTATTTTCACTTTGTTTGAATATTGTGATGTCGACACACACATACATATGTAATCAGAACAGGTATTTACTAAAATTAAAAAAAATGTGAAGCCAGAATCATTCATTCGTTTTGTATATCGCTAGCTTAGAGTGATAAGTTGCTAAGTCCACTTTTTATGAAAACTCATATTTTGATATAGGTAAAGGTACTTGTTTTATTTTTTTCCTCTTCATAAGCAATAAAAGGAAAATTTGCTAAGTCCAAAAGAAGCACCACCAATCCGATAAGGCCAAAATAATACGACGTCTTTTAATAAATATCGAATCCTTCTGATTCTTATGGAGTTTTGCTTTGCTTTAAACGCGCAAAATGTTTGATTCAAAGTCTTCCGAAATAGTTAAAGAAAATGGCTATAGGAAGATTTTTTCCTCTCCTGTAAAACTTTTAAAATGGGACTTTACAACTTTTCTTTCTAAGCTAGCGATATGAATAATTCATAAGCCGTTTTGAATGAATTCATGCAGCCCTCTAATATGCATCATAATATTCGATCAAAAAAATTTGTTTGTTTTATCGAAAAACTGTATTGTTCCCATGTAAAATATATGAAAATGTTCAAAGCTCCGCGGTACGGTTACAAATTATTCGATTTCTTCAAAAAAAATTATAATTTTCCTCTATATTCTTGGACCACCCTAATATATGTATATATTTATGTAAGCGTATTTATTTAATAAACATACCCATGTATACATACATTAAGAACGAGCTAGACAAAGTGAACTTCAGGTTGATTTCTTTTGCACATTCTCAATACAACCTTTTGTCACACCCATTATGAGATTTTTGAGTGGGTGATAATGACTTTCGACTCCCCCCGCTACTTACTAAATATTCTCGCTAAAGTATAAAAAGTGCAGTGCAAGAGGGCCCACTGCACCATCAGCAATATGCTTGCGTTGACAGAACTCCTCAACACACAAAGGTGCCAGGCCGCCAGGCGTAGATTTAAGCTTATGCATTGATGCATCAAAAGACGCCGACACATATGCGTAAGCTACTGGAGTATGCACGCACCAATAACTTCCTTGGGATTGCGTTGTGTTCCATACGCTGTCAACGCCATCGTCGACGTCAACGTCAACGTCGACATCAACGTCAACGTCAAATGTCAGCGTGCAGTGAAGTCCACAGCCACACATTCGCATATTCTTAGCTGACGACACCATCACTCCCATAAGGCGCCGCATACACAGCCTTTGATTGCTGATCGCTACTGCCGCCGATCGCCGCTGCTCATCGCTTTTGCCATCCATGTCTTACTGCATATCTCGTGGCTCAGGAGGATTCACTCTATTCAAATTCGTGTCAGTTCTGAAAGTGTAGCAGTGGCGAGCAGTTGGCCAATCGGGTGTTCTATTCTATTCCGGTGTATTCTAGTCGTGCGAACTGTATTACAAAGTTGTTGGTCTCAATAGCCAAGCAGACAATCTCCAACATCATCATCATAATAATCATCTTTGGCCAACAAACGAAATAAAAAACAACAACAAATAAGAAAAGTGGAAAAAAAAACAAAAGAAAAACCACGAGCTGAAAAGTGAAAACTCTGATTTCAGTTGGAAAGTTATTTTTAAATAATATATTTTTGGAATTTTAATTTCTTTCTTGGCTGTCGCGGTGCCGCTTGCAATCATGTTGAAGTGTGAGCAAAAGTGTTGATGATTTCAAAAGTGTTTTTTTTTGTTTTATGTTTTTACATTTTAACACTACATACTAGTGTCTGAATTGAGCAAAATTGTGAAATTTTTGGAAAACAAAATTTTTGTGTTGAGAAATACATACATATTTAACATTGAAAGGTCGAAAATAAAAGCGCGCAAAAGTGTGCTTGGTGAATATGTGGAAAACATCTAAGGATATTGCACAATTCTTGTGCCTGGCGCTGCTGCTGTGCGTGGCCGTCACAACAATCAGCGCGCAACATCAACACTACGTGGACACTTTGGGTGCTGATATATTCTATGAGCATCTCGAGGGATCATCGGAGCCAGTTCACTACTTGTATGATGGTGATAGCGAATACTTGGACTTGGATTTAGATAGGCCGATGCATTTCTACAGTGAAAAATATGATAAACTATTTGTAAGTGCTCGTATATTTATACATACATATGTATCTAAGTACAATAAAATCTAGAGGAATATATATGTATATTATAGAAAAGTTTAAGCTTAAAAGGTCTGCATACAAACCTTAAAAAATTTTATCAACTAATATCAAAATATCAAAATAATAATTCGTTTATAGGAGACCCGTAACTTATGTATGTATTTGTCTGATTTTTGTATTACCGCTTTAACTACATACAACAATGTGAGCTAGTGATGCACAGAACCGAGGAACCAGAACAGGAGAACTGGGTCCATTAGAGAACAGAAAAATGGTTCTAACGGAACCGAAACTCGATTCAGCAAGGCTAGAAAAATGGTTTCAGAGGAACTGAAATTCGATAAAAAAACAACCCGAAAAACGGTTCCAGAAGAATCGAAATTCGATTCAAAAACACCAGAAAAACGGTTCCGGAAGAACCGAAAAAGGGTTTTAGAAAAGCCGAAAAATTATTGCAAAAGAACTGAAAAACTATTACAAAAGAACCGCAATCTATGGACAAAAAATTTATTTTTTCACAGAGTTCTGAGTTCACCTACCACATTTTGCTCGGTTCCAGGCACTATATCATATACCCGGCATATATGTACCTGATCTGGCCGACATACATCAACTTCGTTGTTTTTGATGCTATCGACTTGAGATTCGGTTTGTGCTCGTATCATGGAGTTCTGATTTACCCTAAAAATGTTTATTCTTTGAATTTAATGTCATACTAGTTTTCTTCGCCAAAGAAGCAGCGATAATTTCGAAAAAATCGTGTTTTTAAAGGGAAACATTATGTACTTTATTTTAATTGAAACCATCCAGTCAACCAGCGGAGTCCGCAGGGTGCACAATTAGGACTCCCTGTGCGGTGCGTTAATGCTTCTAGGGAGGTTCCAAAAAGGGCCCAAAAAGAGCATATCGACCGGAGAAAAGTGCATTCTCAATATATACTAAAAAGTGTGCCTCAGGACTCCTTAAATGCGCGATTTTGGAGGCCGAGAAAGCACCCTCAGAAAATCCGCAAATACTCCATGCGGACTACAGATTTCGGCTATGTTTTGCAAAAAGGACTCTTTAAATTATCGGAAGATAACCTAGATGGAGGGTTTTGGAAGTTCCCAGATAACAGAACGACAAAGCGGCTTTACGGTTTGAAGTGATACTTCTTTAGCGGCGCTTGGTGGGTTGTGAGTAAATTGGCAAACTCAACGAAAGTCGCACACGGAAATGGTTAGGCGGAATCAAGTGCTTCTTAAATGAAGAGGACGAAAGATTAAAATAAAGGTAATTATAAAGAAAGAAGATATGCATACATAGATGGAGCCACAGAGTCCCAACGTGGGAACTATTTAGGAATTTTCGGTATTCACGGGTCGTATTGATGTAACAATCGATTTGGGTATCGATATTTATTATCGATTTTGTTATCGATATTTTTATCGATTTTATTATCGATGTTTTTATGGATATTTTTATCGATTTTGTTATCGATATTTTTATTGAATATTTTATCGATAATTTTATTGGTTTTGTTATCCATATTTTTATCGATGTTACTTTTTCTGTTGCCCCTTTTTTGAGAACCGGAACCGGTCTTTATTCCCGGTTTTCCTTAGAACCGGTTCTTTTAATACTCGGAACCGGATATCACTAATATGGGCCTTGAAATCCAACGCAGCGTCACTTTTGCCAGCAATTGCTACTTTGCACTGAGTAGGCAAATGAGAAGTAAAGTGAGAGACTTACATAAATCACACTCTAAAGGTCACTCAACATTTTAGTGATGGTTTATGGCGCAAACGTGAACTGAGTTCCAAGCACAGTGACAAGGATTAAGTAGACAGAGTTGGCTAGGAAAGCGCTGTTTCGGCAGAAGCACGAATAGAAGACGTTCCGATTTCCGTACAAGCAGTTAAGGAAATACGCTACTTAGGCTTGTTCCTAGTTGGCGTACCAACTGGACAATGTTTTTTGGCATCGCATGCCTACAAATTACTTACCTTAAGATGGGCAATAGTTGCGATGCGAATGGAGAGACTGTGCAGCACATCCTCTGTAAGTGCCCAGATATTAAGTAGTAGGATGCGGTTCTGTCTCTTGGAAGTAAGGTTTCTAACGAATCTCACCCGAAAGTGGTTCCAGTTAGCCAATACTGCTTTTGGGCCCAGAGATTATGTAACTAATGTGCTCGTAGTTTTTCTGGAAAGCCTTTGGATCACGTTTCGGGAAAGGCCTAAAATTCTTAACTTGAAAGGTGTTTCCATGCGCTTAGTTTTCTATTATGTTACACATGGCAACAGAGAGCTGCAATGAATTTCTTACATTTGACCCAACAAATGTTATACAAACTGTTGGTTATATTATTTCATGTTGTTTAGAGAGCATACTTTGTAGTAGCGGGTAGTTATCTAGCTTTTAATCTATTGAAATTTTTTATGAGTCATACTCTTATACATATGTACATACACGCATTGTATATGAAGATACATGTGTACATATATTGCATTATATACATCAAAGAACTTTTGCAAGACACTTTTTTATAAAATATTTTAAGTAATAAATCAAAAATAATTCTCTTTTTTATGTTGGGATTTTTAATAAAATAAATGTATATTTCGACCGCCTCGCCGTCATTACAATTTGAGTATATAGACATACATAGAAACTTATAAATTTATCGGGAAACACCCACATGCGACATACAACATGATTAACCACAGAATTTAGTGCTACATGGGGTTAAACATTTCTTAATTGAAGCGCGAAAGTCCACAAAAGAATTTCGTGTTTTTCGCGCCACCAAATAGCACACAATCAGAAAACTGTATCTATAAGATAACTAAGAGCGGAAAAATAGCCACTTCGCGTGAAATTTGTCACACAAATAGACTGTGAAAGTATGCACATATTTACTGTGCCTAAAAAACATCATAATTCATTAAAGTGGACAAGTCGCAAATTTTTGGCCAACAGCCAGCGGCAATAACTTTTTCTTCTCAGTTTTATTTGTATGCTCGTTTGTATTTCTGAAACCGCGTGTGGCTATTAACTAGATAATGGCATATGTCCTCGCCAAAGTAAAAAAAGAAAGTCAGAAATAATGCCGACTGGGCCATTAGCCGCTAGCATCGCTTGCCATGCAGCTAATTGAAGTGAAAATGCGAAAAATTATTGTTGATAAGTGTGTCGCTAAGATGTCAATACATACATACATACATACATATACGAAATAATTGTTAATAAAAAATTTGGCGCTAAATTAGGCGACATAGGCGGTATAAGTGGCTGCGAATAGAAATGAATCGAGGACAACAACAAATGAATTGCTATGGAACCATCTGCAACTGCATGCATCAAATGTAGTAGAGATGCATACATAATCGATATGTATTTCAGTTTCAAACGCTAAATATATTATTAGGTTCACAAAGCCGCAGCATCCAATTTGGTAGAGTGGGGTAAGGTCTAAACATTTTTCTGAATAGTCCTTATGATCCCCTGGTACTGACATCGACCGTCCGTGGAGTTTCGTTCTCGGCACATAGCCTTTCTCCTAGGTTTTATAAATGGATTTCCTTCAAATAATCGAAATATAGTGCTTATCGTAAATATACGACAATCAGATATTGACAAGCGATGTCAGTCATTTCCTTCCATACGAATTATGCTGGACGATCATTCTACAAGGAGAAAATGTGCAACATCTTCAATAAGTAGATAGTTAAATTATGGAGAGGAACCCGACGCTCCAGTTGATGACGATGGAGACGATGTCCCATCACGCGATCACGCAACTGAAAAACAACACAGCTTCTGAAGCTGACGGCCTGCCAAAGGAGCAGGCGTGCAGCTGATAAGGTGCATGCATCAACTCTTATGCAGAATATGGTCAGATGAACGCATTTCCGACGACCGGAATTAGAGCTGCAAAATCCACCATAGACAAGCAGATATTCACAATACGCCAAATCTCGAAAAATGCTTGCGAGAATAGGAACGACACCTGCACAAAAAATTCTGTTGATAAATACTACTTTCCGAAGAGATGGCAACCCTAATCAAAATTATTTTCAAACTAAAGTTTTCTTAAAACTCTTAAATTTTTTTCAAACTTAAGTTTCTTCAAATCTCCTTTGTCTGGAATTCTGATACCTATTGAAATTAACTGATGAGTTCAGTTGAGTATATAAATAAATTCTTTTCAAACAAATTTCTCTTGATACTCAACTTTCAATAATTCATTTATCTTATTAAATAATTTGAAACTAACAACAGGTGGCGACCCCCCGTAAAACATCTCAAATATGTTCAAACTAAAAATTTGTTAACACTCATTTTGTTTGACACCCATATTTAAAATATTTCATACAACTTTCGTATAAGCTAACTAAATTCGACTCTTTAAACATCTGGCAACCCTCTAAAAAATATTTTCAACTATTAAACCTGTTTCGTCTGGCAACCATTGGGTGATACGTATTTCAGTTACCTGAATTAAAATCAGAAATAAATTTTTAAACAGGTGAAAACCCTAATAAATTTAGTTTAGAAATATAGCTCTTTCAAAACCATTTCCATTGATACTCATATAGGCAATAACTTTAATTAAATTTATTAAAAGGTGGCAACCCTTTTTCGGAAAAATTAAACTTTATTTCACATCTGTAGGCCAAATCCTTTAATTTGAAATCTTATTTTTGCAAATCGAAAACACGGTGCGGATCTATTATCTATTGGTTATTTAATAATTTGAATTAAGCTCGTTAACAGATGGCAACCTTTTTGCACAAAAAGTAAAACCTTGAATCCACGTCTTTACGCAGCCCCAGAGCAGAAATTCTAGAGCTTTATGTACATTTATAAGCTCGACCTATTCCAAACTGCATTCGGTTGTTTAATTAGTCTGACCCTTCTACGAAAAAAAAACAGGCCCAAGTTGCTTGATGGAACGGTTAAATTAGTCGAATAGGAAAGGACGGTAG